TTATCTCTTTAGGATACCTAATCAATGGTTGCATACTGTATGTGCTGAGCTGATCAATTAGAGTATTTACATATGTAGTTATGCTGATCAAGTCACCTGTTGTGATGGAAGTTTATTGAGCTAAGGGGAATTAAATCAGTTCCCTTAGGTTTCAAATTTTAGCCATAAAAGTGAATGAATGGGCCTGTGAATACATTAAATATGCCTATGATTTCAAATATCAAATTATGTTTGTATAAAAGAGCATGGTTTATACTTTATGATTGTTTTAAATTTTCATGTTGTTGAAGATGTGCATTTTGATTTAAAAAATTCCCTATTTCTTGGAACCTACCTAGTGTCACGCCCCGAGAATTTCTGTGACACAAGGAGCAACATTTGAAGTGGCCAAATGTGCTGGAAGGTTCCGGAAGGAGCAAGAACAGGCTAGAGTATGCTGGAAGACTCTAGAACGTGGTGGAAGGGTCACGAGTGCCCTAGAAGATTCTGGAACGTGGAAGAACCTTGGAGTGTCCAGAGCAGTCTGGATGGGTCTGGAACATCCTAGAGTATCCTGGAGAAGCCTACCATGTACTACACTAGTCTAAGAGAGTTCTAGAATGTAGTAGATAGGGTAGTTGTCCTAGATAATTCTATGGAGTGTTCTAGATGTGAGTTTGTAACCCTTGGATCAAAATGATCCTAGCCGTCCATTAGGGAGGAGGATGGCTATATAAGGGGGAAGGGTCTCATTTGTAGGAAAACCAAAGAGTGGAGATCCAAGAGAGCACTTGTAAGTGTGAGTGTGAGAGCCTTGTAAAGCTTTGTACCCAACTATACTTGTAAAGTTATCTTGTATAGTGAAGGCATTCTTCCACCTAAATCTTGTGTGTCTTAGTGTGGTTGAGTGGGTAAGGCTGACTTAGGTGCAACCAAGAGGGTTGGAGACATCTAAGGCCGCACGGAAGGCTTGCGAAGTCTAAGTCCGTGACACTAGGAAAGAACACAATATTTCTTCTTACCTAGGAAAAAATTCCCTATTTCTTGGAGCCTACAATAGGTATGTATGTATGAACAGTAGCAATAATAGCTATGTATGTATCATGTCTCTATTTTCCATTTTGTATGTAGATTACAAAATGGCTTCTTCCTTTAGTAATAATAGCAACATAAGATTGAAATCAAGATTTTGTGATTGTGGGAGAACAGCTGCCATGTACATTGTCCGAACCAATCAGAATGGAAATAAGGGACGTATGTACTTTGTGTGTCCATCGAAATATGTAAGCAGTATTGAAATTTGTTTGCAAATTTATTAGCCTGATTTGATTAACTAATTGTCATGCATTGTAGATTAGTGAGGAACACTGCAATTACTTCAAGTTCGCAGATGATGATGACGACGACATGATCCCCAATGCTGCACCTCGTAAATCTATAAGAAGCGAAGAATTTAACGATCTAAGCACAAGGGTTTATGAGATGGATAATGAATTTCAGGAGCATGCTAGAAGGCTTCGAAGGATGGAAAAGAAATTGAATGTCGTGGTTTTTGTCATTGTATTTTGTATTGTTTTCTATTTTATAATGTAAATTACTGAGTTGATAGCTGTTGGGGAATTTGATGGATGTACTTATGGATTGAATGGATTTGATGGATGTATTTATGGATTGAATGGACTTGATGACTTGAATGGACTTCTGTTTTCAACTATTGTTGATAGGTTGTGTCATTTGTTGATCTTTAGTGCTGGAAATACTTTTTCACTATAAACCTGTAATGGCCTTTCTGGTCCGATGTTAGGGCTGCATTCTCACATGGGAATTTATAGGTGGACCAGTAGTTTGACATACCTTGCTTCTGCATCTGTATTCTAAGAATTGAATATGTCCTTGGTTACCTCAGGTAGCATCTGCCTGCATACGAATGAGTGCTAAATCTGTTGGACTACCAACTGATGCTCCAATTGCACCAGCAGTTAAGCCACACAAAGCCTTCAGACGCTAGAAGGAAAAAATTGCGTTATTTGTCAGAATCTTGACGCCAGAAAGAAAAAATAAGTTCCAAACAATATTAAAGAGTTTCATTTTTCAACATCATGAAACAGAGTCAAGTATTGCATACACATCATGGCATTATAAAAGAGTTAAGATGACTAACATCCACATGTAATTGTATACACATATATGAACTTGCTTGTGTCCAAGACTCCATACACAGCCATCAAAAAGAAAAATAAGCATGGCTAAAAGCATTCCAGAACACTTAGATTTGCCCTGGTGGACTCGCAAAGAAGCAATTCATGCTTTTTATTTAACATAACATTCAAAATGAGTCTAAATGTTATACATGGAATTTACTACTGTTGGTCCACTCCAAACACGATCATTCTTAAAAAAAAAAAAAAAAGAAATTGTATTGATTTGAACTCATAATAATGTTGAATGTTAACATGGTAAATACTACCCAAATGTAGTAGTGACCTAATGTTCATTCAGAGATATCATATACAATATACAGAGCAGTCTTTCTCCAAATGTTCCATACAGACCATTTTCTTGAAAACGCTAAAATAAGATTTTGGATCAACAAAAAGATCAAAAGGCCAGGCAACAGCTAAATAATCAAACAATGAAGCACTTCATTCTGCTTGTCATTCTGCTTCAGTTCTACTTCACTTCATTCTGCTTCATTCTGCTTGTCATTTTGCTGCTGTGAACCTGCTTCATTCTGCTTCAAACAATCAACCTGTCATTCTGCTTTATTCTGGACTGCTCTGGTCGTAATAAGAAGAAGTGCTCTACTGGAAAAAGAACTTCATAGATTCATCATATAACCTGTTCAAAATGTAACCTGTTCACAGATTCATCATAACCTGTTCAAAATATAACTTGTTCATATATTCATCATAACCTGTTCAATATATAACCTGTTCAAAATACGCAGAACTTGACAGAACCTGTTCAGATCTGTTCAGAATCAAACATAATTTGTTAAATCAATTATAATCTGTTCAGAATCAAAATCTGTTCAGAATCAAAATATGTTCAAAAACTTGACAGAATCTGTTCAGATCTGTTCAGAATCAAATATAACCTGTGAAAAATCTGTTCAAACATAAGTTTACAAACATAATCTGTTGAATCAATTATAATCTGTTCAGAATGAAAATATGTTCAAAAACTTGACAGAATCTGTTCAGATCTATTCATGATCAAATATAACCTGTGCAGAATCTGTGAAGTACATAAGTTTACAAACATAATCTGTTGAATCAATTATAATCTGTTCAGAATCAAAATCTGTTCAAAAATGAAAGTCCACAAAAGTAATTATCCCAAGTTTACAAACGAAAGTGATGAACACCATAGTACAAAACTAAAAAAAAAAACGGTGCGTTTGGATCCACATCTATATTCAAGTCCACAAAAGTTAAACCATCTATATTCACCATTCCTGATTCACTGAAAGATGAGCTTCCAATTTTATCCACCATTTGCAATGCACTCTCTTGTGTCTCATCCATACAAGGAAAATAGTATGATTGAGCTTGCAGCACCTTATGATACATAATAATAAAATATCACTAATAAGTTCAAACATAATGTAATAAATACCATACAAAAAATAGTAGTGGACCATGAAACACATACCAAATCATATGTATTGTCTTCCATGTCGTCCGTACAACCGAAATTCAACTTACGAGGTTCACATTGACCCATCTTACGACCCTATATTAACACATATTAGTGAAAAGTTTGACAAAAATAAATTTTGAAATTTACATACAAGCAGAAAATAAAAAATGTACCTAGACTTTTGGTGCCTTTTTATTCTTTCCCTTCAACCGATTCACTATTACATCCACCTTGCTCACCTTCCGTTTCGTACATGGATGGCCTCTTCGGCGAGCAACCAAAGGACTAAGCACCTTGCGAGTAGTACTAGAAGGTGGCACATTACTACTACAAGGTGGGACAGTACTACTAGAAGGTGGCACATTACTCGCACAACCAGATTCATCTTTTCTTATTATTTCCTTAATTTCTCTCAACCCAAGTTGAATGGCTTTGTGTTTACCATCATCGTTGGAAGCAATTTCTATAATTTCATCCAATGTCTTGTGGTAGTTATCATGTACCTTTGCATTGAGGGCAGCCCCAGATTTCGTTTATGTTGTTGGAATGTATGTGTACCCTCTTTCCAAATCTTTTCTCCATCTCGGCACAATGTACTTATCTGGAATCTCATAGATACACCTCTCAATGAGCACACTAAGGGAATGGGCACACATGATCCCCCTAAACTCAAACCACCCACACACATATTGCATTTCAAATTCAGTTGAATTAAAGTAAACAAGAAATTCAATTTTCTTCATTTTCTCATCCACAAGCACAGCTTCATTGACATGATAAGTACAAATGGATCCCTCTTCCTTCACAAGAGTCGTATGACAATACAATAATCGCTTCAATTCTACTTGAACTTCTTTAAATTTCACATTTGTGTAGGCCGCACGAAATTGCTTCTCAAACTCATACACCGTTAAGCAATCATACAATTTGTTTCGAGATTTGAAGTCTGCTTTGGTCTCCTTCTCCACCTTACTTCTCAATGCATTGTCGTACTATTCAACAAATTGCTTTAAAGTAGTCTTTAAGCTTACATAGCCATCAAAAAATGCATTCATACTCTCACTTCGTTGTGTAGTTGACATGCCAGCCCAAAATATATCTTTCACATAGACAGGAATCCACCTATGTCACTCACCATATAATACCTCCAACCACTCGTTGTCATGGAGGCTAAACTTTTCAATCATCGTTTGCCATTCCTCATCAAATTCATATTTTCTAAAAGAATTATAGACTGCATTTTGTAAAGCGAATTTGATGGCTTCATATTGGGAATATCCTCTCAATTTCTCGGGAATTTTCTTCATTACATGCCATAAACACCAACGATGTGGAGCCTGTGGGAAAACAATTTGTATGCCATTTTGCATGGCTCTACACTAATCAGTTATAATAGCTTTTGGAGGAGTGGCTGACATGCAATTTAACCAATCTTTGAATAGCCAAACAAATGTCTCTGTGTTCTTATTAGATAATAGCCCACAACCAAACAAGATTGACTGTCCATGGTGATTAACTCCTACAAACAGAGCAAACGACATATCATACTTGTTTGTGAGATATGTGGTGTCAAATGAGATAACATCCCTAAATGCTTTATAAGCCGCCCTACTCCTTGCATCCGCCAAAACAAGTTTCGTATGCGACCATCTACATCAAAGTCAATTGCAGAATAGAAGTTTGAATTTTCTTGTTGCATCTTATGAAAATAAAATGCAACTGATTCGGCGTCTCCTACCCCAAGCCTCAATCTTCTAACATTTTCAATATGGTTCCTTGCATCTCGTTCATCATATGTTAATGCCTCATATCCCCCCGCTTCAACAACTATAGAATGAAAATTCCTAAGCACCCCTATTCCTGCTTCATCGTTTATTTCTAATTTTCTCTTCACAGGAGTACGAATCCTCTTATTCATTGGAAAATGCCGTGAGTCGCTAGGAATTAAATCATGTGTATGCTCAAGCACAACTGTAGTTAACTTATATCTTCCGTCCGGTTGTAAAGTCGCTCTTACCTTAGCTTTACAATCAATTTTTGATGACAAAGACGGTTTCAGGGGGTTTACTTCTGATTTTTTTGTCCTCTTCTGCACCCGAGTACATTCAATTCCAAAGTATTTCACCTTTCCATCTGCTCCAACATTCTGTGTTCTGTAAGCTATAACAAATCCAAGGTTTTTAGCATATTTTGCATAAAACTCGTGCACTTCTTGCTTTGAGGTAAAAAATATCCCCTTCTTAGGTTCTTCAATTTCACCACTCTCATTTAATGAAGGATTGTTCTCTGCTTCCTCAACTTCCTCACCCCCATTCAATGTAGGATTGTTTGAATCAATGTCCATTGTGTGAAACACTCTACTGTAATTTATATAAAATCAGCAGAATGAAATGCACAACAAATCATAAATAAGGTTAGAGACATCACAAATTCACAGATCCAAATACACCACTTAGATTCAAATTCAGACATCACAGATTCAGAGATTCACATATTCACATAAATAAGGTTAAAGTGGATGTTAAACACCACTTAGAGGCATCACAGATTCAGTGGTTACATCACAAATATAACCACTACAGATTTAGACACATCACCGATTCAGCTATAGAACAACAAGGCAACTGCAACTTTGTATACATCACACATGCCAAACCAGATTCAGCTATAGACAGATTCAAATCACCGTTTGTATACACACAGATTCAGCTATGGACACATCCCAAAACACACATATATATCATACATCGCATAAGAATTAACACACATATTCAGTTTGTCTGCATTCCTTAATATGCTCTTCTAATCCCCTGTCAAATATAGATTTCACTTCAACAAGAACAATCATAGACCCAAACATAGAATTAACACACATATTCTGTCCAGAATGAAACATAGACCCCAAATATAGATTTCACTTCAACAAGAACAAACATAGACCCCCAAACATGGATAACCCTTCTTCTAATCCCCCACATTCAAGCATAACAAAAAAATATAAATTTATAAGAAGAAGAAGAAAAAAAAAAAAAAAAGCACCAGCAGATTCAGGTGAGTACAATGCGCAATTCGGATTCACGTCGAAGTGGTATTTCGTTGGTCAATGAACAGCACTGATGGTGGGCAGAGTTTTTCGCTGGTCGTCGATGGTCACCCAGGTCGGTAGTGTCAACACCGGTCGATCTTGGCGGTGGTCGCTCTCACCTATTCTTCTTCAACTGGTTCCTCTCTCTCTCTCTCCTCTCCTCTCCTCTCCTCTCCTCTTCTCTCTTTTTTTCTATTTCTCGCGCGTGGTGTCACTTGACCAATGTTGTTGTAACTGAGCCAAACCTTCAAAAGTCACCTTTTTCAAATTCGGACGATTCGGGGGAGGGGGGCTTTTTCGAGCTACATAGCGCTATTGATGTAATGTGTATACATATAAAAGTAAGTATTATTAGTTAACATGATTTTCATAAATCAAAGAGTAGTAAAAAATTATTTGTAAATAAATCAAAAATAACAAATCTCAAAGGATAAATTACGCTGACTTTCGTTGAGGTATGGAGAAAATATAATAAGGTCAACAAGTTTAATGTAATTACATGGGGCTCTTTCTTTGTTTTAATTCACATAACATTTGATCATCGTTTCATCAGTTATTTATTAATCATATTGATGAAAAAATTGTAGAGTCAATTTTTTTACATTAAAATGTATATTTTATTTTATTTTATATTTGTATTTTTATATCGCTTGTATTAGTTTAGGTTTCTTTAATCTCACTAGGCTTCAGTTAGGATGTTGGGTTGACTTTTTAACTTTTTGACTATTTTAGTCCCGACTAAAAAGTTCATTTGGATTGGCTTTTTTGACTTTCGTGAGAGAAAAAATAAAATAATTATGGTTTGAATGTGACATTTTATTTTATTGACTTTCTAGCATATTTTGTTTTTTTTTTTTTTTTGTCTAAAAAAGCCACCAATCTCAAAAAAGCCGGATGCCATACGAGCTTTAAAAAAAATTAATGTAATTATGTTAAAATTATAAAATTTATTATATTTTTTTCGAATTTGAAGAGAGTTCAATATAATTACCTATCTTAAATTATTTATAAAGAATACAATCAACAAAAATGATAAAGACCGCATTTTTCCTTGACCCCCACACCTCTCCACAGACACATGTCAGTGAGTGACAGGAGGAAAAAAAATAAAAAACAAAAAATTGACAAATCCTAATACATTGGAGGTGGTGGGAGTCAAGAAAAAAAGAGGTGTCAACATTTTTCTTACACTCAATTATTTTGATTTCTAAGCCAAACTGTAAAAAATTATAGAGAAATGACATTTCATGTTGGACACAAAAAGAATCCTATTATCACATTTACAAATTTTTCTTATCTCAATCAAGACGAAAAAAGAATGATAATAAAATTAAAATAAAATATTTTTATCAAAATTATTTTGATTATTGATGATACAGCGTGTTCTAGATGGAACGGGTCGGATTGATCCACGCTTCCCAAACCGGTGCCCGAGGTACCAAGCCACAGAGAGACCTGCACAAAAGTTCAACGGGGAATAGGAAGTCCCCCAGCGAACCCTCAGACGAGCAAGTTAGAAAGAGAGATGGAGTGTAGAGATAGATTAGTGATAGAAAGTTTAACCTTTTCCTTGTCTTCGATGCCTGCTTATATCCTCTACTAATCATTTCGTTGTCCCTTCCGACCTGTCACCTTGGCCGAAAGTCTATGCTCTAGCTTACCTTGTTCATGGTGAAGCTGTTCTGTCCCGACGGGGAGGGGTTATCGCAATAAATGTTGTAAGGAACTCCATTAATGGCTGATGTGCAGTGCAATAACTTTGCAGGATCTTTGTCTGCTTATGTGGCTTGTCCTTCTCTTGCCACGTGTTTAGATGTCATTGGTTCTTAATGCCACGTTGAGCTCCAGCAACGTTGGGCTTTAGTATTTGAATTATGTATTGGCCCCTAAGTGGTGGGCTATATCCTTTATGGGATTACCCGTGTTAGTAGTCCCCTATTCCCAAGTGCAACTTTATTCCAACAAAAGGAATAAAGAAGAAAATAGTAGTTATGAGAGACCGATGGGGCGAAGACCGACCGAAAGGTGGCCCGACAGCGAGGGGTGACCGAACGGATAGACCGGCCGTGAGGAGGGCCGACCGCAAAGGGTGACCGAGGGGAGGGACCGGCCGTGAGGAAGGTCGACTGCAAAGGGTGACCGAGGGGAGGGACCGACCGTGAAGAGGGCTGACCGCGAAGGGTGACCGCGAAGAGGGACCGACATGAGGAGGGCCGACCGCGAAGGGTGACCAGGGGAAGGGGCCAACCGTGAGGGGAGCCAACCGCGAGGGGTGACCGAGGGAAGGAACCGACCGTGAAGGGTGAGTGGCGGTGCGCGGGGCTTGAGGGACCGCGGGGCACGTGGTGAAGTGAAGTGGAATAGACAGGGAAGGAAAATGGGCAGTGGATCGTGGTCGTACATGTAGCGGAATCCCGTAATGGGGGAGGTTAGGCGTTGGGTAAGAAATGAAGGGGTAGGTTAACATAGGGTGTTGAAAAGGCGGTTTTGGCGAATTTTTGAAAATTTTCAAATTGGCCAAATTTAATCGTGACCCTTGAAATACAGGAAAACCTTGGGCTTTTGGTGTTATCCGCTTTACCTATCTTTTTGCAAAAAACCAAAACGTTCCAGAAGTAAACTCTTTTGTGTCGAATGATACACCTTTGCAATATTTTGTAAATTACCTTGTACCAGCGTCTGAAGCTATATGCAGGCATACCAGAGAGATGGCTAGAGAGGAAGTGCCCACCATAAGACTAGATGCGTTGGGGGACGACGACGACGCGGTGGACCTGGCGGTGCAATACAGGACAGAGAAGCGAGCAGGGAGTGAGGGGGAGTCAGCGGGGTGACCCCGCTCATCCACGCTAATAGCGGCTGCAAAGCCGATCAGGCAAGTAGAGCCAGATCATTGGCACATGAAGGCCGACAAATCGACCTTGACCGCGGAGGAGTTGGAGGACATGCGCGAGAAGTATCAAATTCCTGCGGAAATAGAGTTAAAACTGCCGATATCAAAGGAGAGGCCATCCGATGCTCGACCGGGGGAGTTTGCCCTTTACGAAGAGGCATTAAAGGGGGGGTTGAGGTTGCCGCTTCCCCGAATAGTAGTGGACGTGTTGAATCGGCTGGAGGTGGCTCTGGGCCAACTGATGCCCAATGCGTGAAAGATTGTATTGGCCTGTGCAAGCGCGTGGTCGCAGGCAAACGAGGGGGCTGCAATGGCGGTGGATGAGTTTTTTGCATGTTATAAGGCTTCGGGCCAGCAAGAGACTTGGGTCACTTTACAAACGGCGGCAGGAAGGGTCTGGTGGCGGGGTTGCCGTCGTCCGTGAAGGAGTGGAGGCCGCGGTGGTTCTATGTGTCCGCCAACGGGGGAGTAGGAGTGCGCACGGTGTGGAAGGTGCCAACCAAGTCGGTTAAGCCAAGGTTGGAGGCGGAGGTAGAGGAGAGGGTGAAAAAGGTGAAAGCATGGAGGGAGAAGGAGGGTGCCAAGTGGGACGACCTCGTTCAGCCCTCAGCCTTGTTTGCCTTAAGGCTGGGCCCTCAGCCAAGCGGTGAGGATCTTGCGCCGGCAGAATTAGAGGCGAGGAGGAAGAGGCAAGAGGCGGAGGACAGAACCGCCTTCGCCAAGGCCGATCAGTACAAAGAGGCGAGGTTAGGCCGCTCGCCCAAACAGATCACGAGGGAACGAGTCTGACCGCGCCCCAAACCGCTGTGGGAGAAGAACCTAAGCGGTTTTGAGCCACGACCACCTCCAGTAGATCCTCTGAAGGAAAAGAGCAAAAAGGAGGTAGAGGTTGTGGTGAAGAAGAAGAAGAGAGTAAAGGAAAGGGAGGTGTAGACACCCCATTTTTGACTACCTTTAAGACTTGGACGTGACTGATGGTTTACATGGTGGAGAAAGGTGTGCAGGGAAAGGTTCAGTTTCTTCGGCAAGAAGAGAGTCAAAGATCAACTTCATACCCCTTTTTGGACCGAAACAATCTTGATCAAAAGATTTTAGACCTTAAAACCCTCTCTTTCAAAACGTTTTTGAAATAAAGTTTTTACGATGTTCCGAGGCTCGCATTTTGTCAAATGTTGTGCTTTTCGGTAAACCGAGCAAGGACAAAGTGGAAATGAATGAAAGAGAGATGAAATCTTTGAAGAATCTTTCAAAACACCTTACTTAGGGGTTTGAAGTTGAAGAAAAGAGGAGAAGAGGGAAGAAATCCAGTTGGGGGAGAAAATGGGCATGAACCGTTAAGGAAGAGTCGAGCAGCCCTCGCCAAATC